ATATATATATATATATATATATATATATATATATATATATATATATATATATCACACACACACACACACACACACACACACACACACACACACACACACACACACACACACACACACACACACACACACACACACACATATATATATGCATATACACATCCTTGTGTGTGTGTGTGTATATATATATCTATATATACATATATGTATGTACATATATATATATATATATATATATATATATATATATATATATATATATATATATATATATATATATATATATATATAGTCATATCTATCTATCTATCTGTGTATGTATATGAGTGTGTGTGTGTATATATATATATATATATATATATATATATATATATATATATATATATATATATATATATATATATATATATATATATATATAATCATACATTTGTAGAACATATTTTCAGGACCTTCCATAGGCACAATCTGCTATGATATAATCATGCATGATCCCAGAATGAATTGCATAATGGGACAGAGTTTGTTTGCATAGAAGCAGACTTGGCGTGAAAATGGAGCAGGTCTGAAGTGAGCTTTAGATACCAGTCACAGCAGTGATATTGTTTAGGATAATGTTTGTTTACTGGAGCTGTATAAAGTTATGCTTCCATTATTGACGAGCAGCTGTAGAATGTATGACCAATGGATTTCAATGCTGTTTATAATATTTCGAATTTCCTAAGTTCTTGCTATTCTCAGACACGGATAAGAGGTTGTTGTTTTTTTGCTCTCTCTTCTATTCTTGAGTCGGTCTTTCTTGATTAATATCCATCTTTTTAATAGCTTACTTTTTATAGTACATATTGAATGGCATGACAAGATAGAAGGTTAGATATCTCAGAAATATGTACATTTGACTGTAGAAAATTTGCAAAGAAAGACTGCTTGAAATTACTAAACACATATACTGTAGTGTCCTTGGAGCCATAGAATGGGACATTAGGCTAACTGAGAAATTCTGATCTTGATTTGTTTTCTTCTAATGGATACTAATGAATAATATTACCAGTGTACTCAGTTCTTGCAATATAGAGGCCACTCTGTACATTGTTAGGCCTATTAAACATTTTTATAGTCACCCTCTACCATGTATATATATGCCCCATACTGTAGTATATACATAGATGCCCTGAACATTACATAGACGGTTCTCTACAATGTCTAGATGGTTCCCTGGCACCTCCTAATGCCTTCATCTAATATTTCGATTTGTATACCTTTGAGAGAATGCCTTTAAGTCTCCTATATGTTGTGTATATGATTTTGAAGTTTGTACAGGTGCCTCCAGTTAGAGTTTAGATTTTCATTGTTATTTCTAAGGTCCTGTATGTAGTCAGAAAGGATATGTATGCCGTCTAGTCGTCTTAAGACACCTACCTTACCGTTTTTAGGTTCCTTCGGTCAGCTAGGCATTTATCGAGATACTCCCTAGCAAGAGTTGAGTTTAGACCCTTATTCATGTCTTGAAATTCCTGATGGTTCCCAGTATTATCTGGGTGCTTATGAATGCTGTCAAGTTAGTCCAGACAGGTATTTTTGGTCACTCCACTTTATTTTGGTATTAATAATGACTCTTTTCAGGTGCCTCCTTGTGTTTAGAACTCCCCCCCTTGGCAATGACTAAGTAGCTCCCTTTACTCAGAGAAATTGTGTAGAGACAGATACCAAAAATAAGACTTATCAATAATCAAGACATAACCAGTATAATCCATTCTTCCCACTTATGTATATCCTATATTTGATTTCTCAGACCATGTGGATATAGGAATGCTATTCGAAAGCAGGTACTGAACATTATTTCCAATTTTATTGTTTGTGTTTGTTACGAATTCCACCGTTCAAAAAGGCTGAGGATTTAGTAGCTCCAAGGTCTTTCATATGTTCAGAGCTTGAGGATTTCCTTTTTATTATTATTATTATTATTTTTTTTTTTTTTTATTTATTTATTTTTTTTTTTCTCTGTCACAGATATGCCTAGTCACATGTATTATCAGATTCATCAAGTGTGGATGTTTGTTAGGCAGCGTTGAATCTCATCTAATAGGCTGTCGTTGATTATAGCCTTTGGTAGTGTGACAAATGGACGTAGATATAATGTGCATCGGGTGATTTATTTTGACAGTGCTGTAGAGTTATTAAGTTACAGTTGCTAAAACGAAACTGTGGTAAAATTCTCGTACGTGATATGAGCTCGGAAAAAATGCTTAATATTAAGATGTTGTTCACTTCCTAAATTTGTTATATTTTTAAAATCTTATTGGTGATATTGATAAATTAGTAATTACTCTAGTCATTTAGTTGACTCAAATAGCTTAATCTGGAAAGTATATCAGCAATTACTTCACAGGATACTGTTTTATTTAGTTTTGATTTGGATATCTGCGTAACAGAGGACGAAGTGAAACTGAACGTAAAGAATAGGAAATTTAGTTTCAGTGCTATTTTTCACTTCCTTTCCCAATGAATAGCACAAAAGGGATCAACATTTTATTCTTAGAACTTCCATATTGTTTGTGCTCGTGCATTCTTATTTTTATTCTTATTATTATGAAAGAAAAAAAAGAGAGCAAAGACTCTGGAGGAAAATCTTCAGGAAGAGGAAAGCAAAAGCAGCCTGAGAAAGATTCAAGATCTCTTATCTACAACACCATTCTTGTTAGTAAATTAGCAAAGAGGATACTTACACCAAGAACCATTAATTTCTTCAATAAAGTGCTGCCCTCAATTGTGAATGTGATATAAAGACACTGAGGAGTTCAAGTTCCCCACCCACCTTCCTTCTCCTAGGTTATTGCTTTTATATTCATACTCTGCGGAGGTTTATGAGGTCATTTAATGGAGGTATTCAACAACCGTGACTTCATTATCCATATGTGTATCTGTAGAACTCCCTTGTACAGCCATGAAATTAAACATGGTCGCCAACGTCAGGCTCCGATACGGCACAGAAACAAGAAGTATCTTTAGATTGAATCCTCCCTCCCTGCTCAGTTGTGCTTCATTTGCACGGAATCGGTCTAAGTGCGATGGCTTGGAGCTTCTCCGTTTTCTTTTTCTTCTTTGCATTTTCTTTGTTGTTATTGTTATAAGTGATTTATATTCATATTGCCATAGCTTTTCAATGTGAAAGAGACAGCCTAGCTTTGTTGAAACAGTACTGACTTTGAAAAATTATTGAAATTTCAGAAAGCTTTACAAATTGATATAGTTATACTGATAACTTATGTAGCGCAGGCTGATAGAAAAGAGAGTGAAAAGAGTGAAGAAAACACAGAAAACGGTGATGTTCATGGAGGATGTCTCTGTATACGACTGTGAAAATATCATATCAGTCATATGCAGTATGCAGAATGCCTCCAGGCTTAAGCACAGAATGTATGGTGTACGTTATATGTTACTGTGGCATATGTGTGCTGGACACCATAAGATATGAGGGTGTCAAGAACATTTGGTTATGAAAGACAACAATAATGAAAGTGATGGCAAAATTGTACCTCAAATATTCAATATTTACAGTTCATGTGTATGGAGGAGCACAGTAATTAAGAATATTTTTAAAATGAATTGTATTGTTTGACAAGAAAAGATATTATTATGGGGTTATAGGTATAAACTATGATGCACATCAAGGAGAAAGTAGATTGAGTGTGCAAAAGTTGTGCAATTGCAACATTTAGTAGACAGTTTTGGAAAAGAATCCTTTGGCTTGCAACAATACAATTTTCTCCTTCATTTTTTATTTATTTACAATAATGTGTAAGATCTTGACTGGTTGGTTATTGGTATTATAGGCATCCACATTACTTTGCTAGGAAGTTGCCTAATATATTACCTCATTTTTTGTATCCTCAAATATTCAAACATCACAAAATCAAAAGCAAAGAAATAAATGCAATCTCTTTTTAGGGCTGAAAAGATAAGTTGTCCAGTATTATTAGCTGTGAAGAATTCTTGCATGTACTGACAGAGGACTAGTGGTTTGATAGACTGATTTGCAAAGGCAGTTAACCTCTCAACATGGTAATTAGCACTTGAAGGTGGTGTGTTTGAATATAGAATGAGCCAAACATTTTTGCCCATAATATACTTGTTTCCTTCGTTGTGAGAGAGGTCATAGAAGATTCATGGCACAGCTAGTCTGTAGAGACTGAGACGAGTCTGTGTAACTGATAAGAATATTATGTGTTGGGGGACTTGTATGGCTTTCTTGATTGCTCTAGAGGACAGTGTAGATTGTACACTGAATTTACTTATTACAAATGAAACCAGTTGTTGGTGGTACTTTGCTGTTTTTTACATGAAAATTACCAAAGTTAAATGGTGTCTATACGTTTAGTTGGAAGGTCACAATGCATTTTTTAACACTGTGGAGATCAGCTGGTTAGGATTTTTTTTTTTGGAAATTGTTGGTGTGTATGCAAGTTGAGTCTCAATACATGTAGGTGTAGATAAAGCCATTTTTGGTGACTTGTAAGTGAAGAATTACTTTGTTAAATTTGGCTTTATATTGCATTTTTACATGTTATAATATATCATTGATTTTCATTAATTCTATTAGAAGCTTAGGTTTTCTTGTATAAGCTTTAGAGGCTGTGGTATTTTATCTTATATTTCCTTGTTTATTTTTTTAAGTACTTTGATTAAAGAGTTCAAATATGATTAACAGTTATATTTAGGCAGAAAGGCTAGGGAAAGGTATACAGAGTCTCAAAATTTCATGGAACAGAAGAGAAAAATGACCAAGAAACAACTATTATTGATGATAGACTCTGCAACGTTCAATACACAGAGAGGACAGCCTTCACAGGGCCCTGATAGTGTTCCTTTCCTCTGGAATTATAGCAAAGCAGTTGTGTTGACTATCCCATGTAAGTTCTCTACTGAACTGAAAGTTAGTGAGATACACCTGTGCCAATTAACTAGTACATTAGTGGAGTGTGTGTATTTGATACCTTGACTTA